CTGAGCAGGCGAGAAGAACACCGGATTAGATGGGATATAGAGAAGTATAAGGGGGAACAACACGAAGAGGGTAAAACCAAAGAGAACAAAAATGGAATAAGCGAGAAGGGGAAGACATATGAAAGATAACAAGACAGAAGACAATATATATATATATATATATATATATATACAGTATATATAATATATATATACAAAGGGAAGAAGAATCAGAGGATTAATTTATCTGTAGAGATAGACCAACCAACCATGAAGGGGAAGATATGTGAGGAAGAAGAAACTCAAGATTAAATTTGATAAAGGAAGGGAGAAGTTTAAAGGGAAAACGATAGAGGGAAGACGTTGACGATCAAATAAACGGGAAGAAGACTAAGAAGATTTTAAACGACGACAACTTTAAAAAGATCAAAGAGAAATGAAATGGTTAAGATGAAGGAACTTAGAATTATTATTTTGAATGAAAGGAAATTTGACGAGGAAAGTGAATGTAAAAAAAAACTCACAATGACGAAGAAGAAAAAAAAAAAAGTCTGGATGAGAGGAAACAAGAGGACATGAAACTAAATACATAACCACAAAGGTAATAATAATAAAAAAAATATAAAAAATGGAAAGAAAGTGAATTACAATGCTAAAATTTCTGGTAATAATAGAACACTTGGGAAAATTACATTTGTGAAATACCAAAAGATAAAGACAATGATCCAGTGTAGATAATATGTAACGGGAGAGAGAGAGAGAGACATATTACCTATACATAAAGATAGAAAGAAGGAGATGGAGAGAGAGAAAGCGAGACAAAAAAAACCAAAGAGAGACAAATCCTCCCTCGACAGTCGTACAACACTCACCATAAGTTTCCTTCAACACAAGAAAGAACAACATCCCTCTTGTACACAACACACAAATATCTCCCACATACCTTACAAGAACAGATAAAACTCCCACCCTCCCAGAATGCACGAACAACATTTTAACAATTCCTGGTGCTGTGAGACCCCCAAAATTTATTTATGATAGTGATATGAAATTATGCAAATTATACAAGACGGGGAGGGAGGGAGGGGGGGGCGGGTGAAGGGGGTGGGGAATTGCTGAGTGTGATATGTTGGTTGAGTTTGTGACATATTGTGAATCTTGCCCCAGTTGTGAAATTTCTAAAGGGTAGAGGAGGTGGAGAGAGAGAGAGAGATAGGGAGGATTAGGGGAGGGTGAGAGAAGGACTGAGAGAGAGAAAGTGAGAATATAGATGGTGGGTGAGAGGAGATAGGGACGAGGAAGAGGAGAGAATGTGAGAGTGTTGGAGTAAAACTGAGGGAGAGAGGAGGGTGAGAAGGAGTGTGGGAAGGTGTAGGGGTGTGAGTAGAAACAACAATAAAAATTCAAGAACACTGAACCTGTACTGTAATTACGGTGATAAGTGGATGATAGCAGTAGAGAGAGGGAGAAAAACACAGAGATAGAGACAGAAAAACAGAGAGGAGGAGGAGAGTGAGAAGAGGGAGGGAGGAAGAGATGAAAGGATTGGGAGGAGGGGGAAGGAATGAAGGAAGAATGGATCGAGAAGGTGGAGAATAGGAGAGGAAAAGAGAGCACATCCGTCTAGTGTGTCTAGAAAAGAATACATTAAGTCTCATTGTACTGTAAAGAAATGAGCATTATGTCTGAATTTACACTGTGTGGGCTAATTGTCGTCTCATATGTATGTATGTAATGTATGTAATATATGTAATTGTATGTTATGTATGATATATATGTAATGTATGTATGTATGTTATATATATATATATATATATATATATATATATATATATATATATATATATATATATATATATATATATATATATATATATATTTATAATGTGTGTGTGTGTGTATGTGTGTGTATGTATCTATAGTATATAATAGCTCCTTTTATTATTTAAGTGGACGAACCCCCCCCCTCCTCCACGGTCTCTCCCTACCACCGCTGCTCTTCGACCTACTAAGGTGTTTCACATGCATTAGCGGTGTCAGTTCCCCCCTGAGTGTTATCCTGCATATCTTAAGGGGTGTCTGAGTTCCCCGGAAGGTTAATAAGATGGAATAGCTGTGCTCATCGTGGCGTTCCTTCCTCACTCACAGACTAAGTGATGCCAAAAGCGTCTTGTCCCTCCCTCCTTCCCCCCCTCCTTCTCTCCCTCCCTCCCTTACTCCCTCCTTCTCTCCAGACAGACCTGAGATGCGGGACGTGTGTGTGGTTTAAATGCTCGCTGCCTCTTACTCATCCACCCACTAGAAGGTGTTGGACTGTGTCAGATTTCTCTTAGTCCTGTTCACATCCTTACGTTTACATCCTCTACTTGAGTCGTAAAGACGATCGTACCTTCCGTAAATTATTCCTGGGCAGCACAGGTGTCTTAAGCAGTAATTTCTGTTAGTCTCTGGAGGGTGTACAGGTGTAAGAGGTCGACATATTAATTCTGTACCGTAAGAAAGTAAAATAATAATGAAATGTTGGACAAACTCTGCAGCACCTCAACCTGTCAGCCCCCATAAGAGTCAACCCAAAAGTCGTTACACAGCTGAAACTAAAATACCTTAAATTCTAGTTTTCTGCGGGATGTGACGCAGCAGCCCATGATATGAATCTTTACTGACAATCACATCCAGGAAAAGGTTTAACTCGAGCCAGGTTTCAAAATCGCTGCTACTCTGGTTAAGAGTGACACAGCAATCAAGACCATTCGGGTACACGTCCATTTTCATCATATGAGCAGCATTTATGACTGAATGTTCTAGTTCAGGTGCAGCGTGTAACTGAACGATCCCTTTACCCACAGTTACCCTCTTTTGTGCCTCTTATGTAAGGAGATCCACAAGCGGTGTGTGTAGTGAGCCAACCGCTGGTTTTCAGACGATTACACTTAATTTGGTATGATAGATCCTTGCTGGCTGACTCAGCTGCTGAAGGTGCGAGAGAAGGTTTAGTTATCTCTTTCTCTTTCTCTCCCTCAGTTCGATAATGTAAAAAGATCTCATCCTGAAAATTTGTCGATATCTGCATATTTTATGTATTGTTCTAACTCCTGACGACATCGCCTCTGACCACAATGAATGCAGTATATCAATAGCTGTGTGATAGTTGATTGATACGATTCTTCTTGACCTCTACTGTGATAGCGCCCCTTGGGTGAGGGACACCAGAGTCATTAACACCGTCAACAAAATCCTTGTATCAGCTCTGTGTCCCGGGGAAGAAAAAAAAATCAAGTGGCAGAGATCTAATACCTGTAGACAAGACTTGGAGGAAACCATCAATTTACCTTGCGAGGGAACCAATTAACTGTTGTGAAGTTATTAATGTGTCTTTAGCCTAATTAATGCCAATCACCTGAAGAAGAATTAAACCAAAAAAAAAGTTACTACCAAAAATGAATCAGAACACGATTATGTATACGTCGTCTGGACTCAGGTATCAACTTGGTGCAAATTGGATCACAGACTGTCAGCTTCCGGGGGTATAATCGCTCTTAAAAAATTTAATGAGCTGCTTTCCAGACTTATTAAAACCATCAGAGAACCCAACAGCAGCCACTTGACTATTCCAGCGCCCAAGTTTAGCGATCTAGAGAGGCAAATGTCAGCAGTATTCTGGACTCACAACTCAGCCACCCATGATGTTTCGTTTTCTCTTGTAATTTGAAGTTTCGCAAGATATCAAATCCAATGAAAAGATTATTAGGAACAATAGAAGGAAATACAAGGGACATACACACACACACACTAATGTATGTGTGTGTGTGTGTGTGTGTGTGTGTGTGTGTGAAGATAACTCAATCAGTTGTGATTTGTTCCTGCTGTTATTGTCAGAGAAAATATCAATAATAACACACAAGCGGATATTCTCACTACTCACTGCTTCACCCCAGCTGCCTCCGTCCTCCTCATTGCAAAACTGAATACTAAATTATGTTTACCTCCTTGTAATTGGGAAACACTACTCGATAATTTTGGAAAAGTGTTTGTATGTTTGCGTGGTTGATTGTACGTGTGTGTGTGTGTGTGTGTGTGTGTGTGTGTGGCATCACTGATATGATCTTTGCTGCCCGCCAGATACAGAAGGGGTCCAGATAACAGCGTCGTGACTTGTACATGGCCTTCATTGACCTTACTAAGGACCTCGACTCGGTCTACAGCGAAGCCCTCTGGCTGCCTACCAAAATTCATTGCCATTCTGAGGCAGCTCCACGATGGCATGAACGGCAGTGTCCTGCACAATGGCACCCAGGTCTGGGTTCTTCCCCATCCAAACGGAGGTAAAACAAGGATGTGTACTGGCACCAATTCTCTTTTCCATTTTCTTGGCGGCCTTCCTTACTCCTGCCAGTGTCAATTTAGCCGGCGGGGTGGACCGTCCAGTACCTACTGAGGGGACTTTTCAACATAAGACGACTGCAGGCAGAAACAAAGGTGTCGGAGGCTTCCATTACTGAACTTCAGTATGCAGGCGACCTCACACTCGTCGCTTACACTGAACACAACCTACAGGAGATCCTGAACACCTACGCAGATGCGTATGCACACTTCGGCCTTGAGGTGAATGCACATAAATCTCAGATTCTCTTCTAGCCTGCCCCTTGGCTCCCACCTGTCCACCACTGCAGACATCGATGAAGAGATTCAACATTGGATCAGATGTGCATTTCAAGCCTTTGGACGACTCTGTACCCGCGTCTTCAGCAGGTAGGGAGCTGAAATTATCGACAAAGTTGCACGTGTATCGACCAGTGGTCTTTCCACCATGGCACCTCCTGTACGTAGTCTGTTCCATCCTCAGCTGGGACAAGAACAAATGCCAGTATTCTCGCTACCATTATCCATGAACAACTACGCTGGACTGGCCATGTAACCGCCATGGACGACAGCAGACTGCCAAAGGAGCTAATTTACAGCCGCCTAACGAATAGTAAACGTAACGCTGGCGGGCAACTGAAAAGGTATAAGGATATTCTAAA